TCTACCGATCGGCTACCAAAAATAGCCGATGACCATAAACTCTGGCCGATGGCCATCCCTCTTGGCCGACCATTCCTCAGAATGTTCATAAGGTGGATTAGAAGCATTTTGGAAGTTGGAACAATTTTCAGAAATCCAAAAGAGTGCAAACAGAGGCATCATGAGGCACGGTAGTGGATTTTCGAGCGAAGCCGACCGAGCATGCATTTCTTCCTTGCCCGCGAGGCCATTTCATTACTTATGATCAGCTTGTGTAAACTAGTCATTTGATTTGTTTTGTAATAATTAATTAGCTTAGCGTAGCTAGTTAGTTGATTTATTCGGACCCTCGGCCGAGAGGGCAAATGTTGTAATAAGTGTGCGTATGTGTGATACATGTCTTCCAACCCCACGTCTTTCTCCCTTTTACTTAACTGCTTTCGATGGTTAGTTTTTTAGGGTATATTTCAATTAGCATCCTTATGCTTCGCATGCATGCATCATTCATTCATATTGCATGCACCGGGCATCATACAAACTACATTGTATTTCAATACCTATTTGAATACATGTTATCAAGTTGCATTCATATGCCATTCTAGATAGCCGAGCCTATCTTAGTTGCATTTTGCATGTATTGCATTAGGCATTCTTGACATAGCTAGAATCATACATGATTTCTAACTAGCTTCTGTTTTGGCTCGGAGTACACTGTGAGTATTTATGCTTTAGCATCCTTGCATGTGTGTAAGTGACTTCCATGATAGCATGCTTTCCATGAGGCTAACTGCTTAAGTGATTAACTGCATGAATGCCTGTGGATGAAGGCTTTATTGCTTGAATTGGAACAATTCATCAAATGTGCGTTTTAAGCCCACTTGAGGTGGCAAATCATCATGTTTTCTAAGCCCACTTGAGGGTGGCAAATCCGCGTCTTAGCCTACTTGCGAGTAGCACTTTCAAACCATTTTCAAACAAACAAACATGAGTTGTTTTGTTCCAAATTGAGCGATCGAGTCTATATTTGTATGCTGTGCGCATCACATAGTAAGTTAGCCAATAAACCAGAATAAGAACACATGTGTTTTCAAAACAACATATCATGTTTAGTAGAGGCCGATCAGCGGGGGTGCTCATTTCAGGACCTTTCCCTCTCGTACCCAAGTTCCCGAGCCGAGGCAACTTTGGTGATGACAGACACGTGGCCTTAGGCACGAGTCAGGGTTTTCTAAATTTCCCAAAACAAAATATTTAGGTGGCGACTCTGAAATCTGGCAAAGCAGTCCATGTTTGGCGCTTTTTTATTCAAAATTGATTTTTCAAAAACAATTGCCGGATTTGGACTCTTTGGTGATTTATCAGTCTTACATTGCACTTTGTGAGATTAGATTTAGAACCATGACAGGAGTCCGAACTGTAGTAACTAGAACTACAATTCACGCCCTCGCGCGTGAAGCAGAGTTTCGGGCAGTCTACAACAAGTTAGGCATTTAGACACAAATTGGGCCACATCTTTCTTCATCAAATTGACGACTCAAGTCATGGTACATTTTTGTACCTCTAGGATGAACATCAAAGCGAGAGTAATGGAAGTCTCATAATACGTCATCTCTACAAGATTGTGGGACAAATAAGCAACCTACATACTGCACACTTGAGTCAGAATGTACCCTTAAACCCCTTTCCTCTTTTCATTGTAAGATTTTCTCTTTAATAGCCTCCACTTCTGGATCATTTTGTTGCGCTTCTAAGACTCGGGTAATTAAAGTTGCCTGGGCTAAAATTGAAAATGAGGTAGCTTGACTAGGTGGTTTGCCAAGTCATACATCAAATTCATGTAGGTCACGCAATATCTTCCACTCCCTTATGGCAAGGCTAGCAACTACACTCATAGACTTTCTACTCAAGGCATCGGCAACTACATTTTCCTTTCCCAGGTGGTAATGAAATTCAAAGTCATAGTCGTCCATATACTTCATCCACCTCATTTTTCACAAGTTTAAATCTTTTTGAGAAAATAAATACTTGAGGCTCTTATGATAAGAAAATACATTAAATTTGTCTCCATAAAAGTAGTGTCCTCAAAGTTTCAAGGTGAAAATGACTGTGGCCAACTCAAGATCGTGAGTGGGGTAATTTCTTTCATGAGTTTTTAGTTGACGAGAACTGTAAGCTACTACCTTGCCCTCTTGGGTCAAAATGCATCCCAATCCCTCTTTTGAGGCATCACAATATACAATATAACCTCTCCCTCTTTCTAGGATGATTAGCATAGGTACAAAAGTTACTCTAGCTTTTAACTCAAGAAAAGATCTCTCACATGCATCATTCCAAACAAATTTCACCCCCTTTTCTGGTTAATTTGGTCAAAGGCACCGCTAGAGTGGAAAAATCCTTTACAAAACACCTATAATACCCAGCGAGACCCAAGAAGCTATGAATTTCAAAAACATTTCTAGGTCGTTCCCACTTCTGCACTACTTCAACTTTGAAGAATCTACAGTAACTCCCTCTGTCGAGACCACATGACCCACCAACTTCACTTCTGAGAGCCAAATCTCACACTTCTTATATTTGGCATACAACCGATGTTCTCTAAGGAGTTGTAAGACAATATGAAGATATTTCGAGTGCTTCTCTTCAGAAGGCGAATAAATAAGAATATCATCTACAAAAACTACCACGACCTTATCAAGATAATCTTGGAAGACTCTATTCATTAAGTCCATGAAAGTAGCAGGAGCATTGGTCAAGCCAAATAGCATCACAAGAAATTCATAATGACCATATTAGGTACGGAAAGCTATCTTAGGAATGTTCTCCTCATTCACCGGTAACTGATGGTAACCCAATCTTAAATCTATCTTTGAGAGACACCGAGAACACTTAAGTTGGTCAAAAAGGTTGTCTATTTGGGGTAAAGTGTATCTGTTCTTGATTGTGACCCTATTGAGCTTACGATAGTCAATGCACGGCCGTAATGAACTATCTTTCTTCTTAGTGAAGAGGGTCGGTGCTCCCTATAACGAGGTGCTAAGGTGTATAAAACCCTTGTCTAACAATTCTTGTAACTGCTCCTTCAAGACAAGCAGTTCCGCTGGAGCAAATCTATATGGCGACATTGAGATAGGTGTTGTTCCCAGCACTAAATCTATAGAAAATTTTACCTCATGATGGAGCGGTAGCTCGGTGAGGTCCTCAGGAAAAATGTCTGGATACTCGCAAACTACCTCAGGAAACATCTCCCGAACCACAGTATCCTCATCATCTATGATGAATGCAAGAAGAAAACTTAGCTTAGCTCGAACTCGCGAGTCATACAATGGTGACAACCCTCCATTAGTTCTATCCCCCAGGAAATAAGGCGGTACATACCATAACCCTTTCATAGTAGCAATCTATAATAGCGTGGCAAGAGGATAGCTAGTCCATACCAAGAATGCCATCGAAACCTGACATCTCTAATAGCACAAGGTTAAAAGGAATTTGACGGTTAGCTACCTTAATTATACACCCACGACATCCCCATTCCAAAATAGCTTGACCCCTAAGTGGTGACTTAACCATAAGTGAAGATTCTAATCGTTCTACCTTTAGGCCCAATGTGGATGCAAATGCAAATGCTATAAATGAATGCAATGCCCCGGTATTTATCAATACATTGGACCATGAGTTATAAACAAGATAGGTACCTTTCAATCCCAATGGTCTGGATGACTGTTTAGGAGTAGTAACAGCATAGACTCGCCCTTGGGGTCTTTGATTGCCCCGAACACCTCTTGAAGTATTGAGCAGTTGTGTGGACTGTGCTAATGTGGCTCCTTGCACTACCCTCGAAGTTTTCCCAGACTGAACTGACTGATAGTTTTTCCTCTGACCTTCACTTGTTTGATAACCCCCAGAATTTTGAGACCTCGAAGTACTCCACACTCTAACCAATCGTGGACAAGATCTCTTCTTATGCCCCGACTGCCCGCAATGGTAACACGCAGGCAGTTGGCCCCTCCCTTAGGCTTGGCTTTGAGAACGGGTTGGTTGTTAATGACTCGGATTCTATTTGCATTTGGATGCCTTGTGACCTTGCTCGCCATATCTAAAATAAGTAACCCGATAGGGGCCGCCCTTCCTGAACTTCTCATAGAAACTGACCCCGATGATTTGGTTTGTTGGGGTGCAGACTAAGAAGATGAAGAAAATGAACCTCTAGATCTCTTAGAAGATCCCGTATCATCCTTAGATTCAACGAAATTGGGCCTCTTGTGCTTCTATCTTGCTTCTTTAGCCTCAAGCATAATCTCCACATGAGTCGTAGCCTTCACCAATCTATCACACTCCTGGTACATATTTTTTTTTTTTTGATCAACAAATAAAAGAAATTTTATTGATAAAAAAGAAATACAAAAAAAGACTTGGCACAAATGCATCATAGTTCTAAAATACATCCCAACTATGTTGGCACCTATTAAAGAACCCAATCATGTGCAGGCACAAGCCAAAAAAGGCTGATGAGCACTCAACCAGAAGAGATACAAAGAAAAAGATAAACAAAATACAGGACATCATTATGAGATCCTAGCTCTGTAGCCTTTGATGCCATGTAAACAAAATAAAAAGTCATGAATTGAGAGTTCTGGTAGGCTGAACGATTGCTTTACCCAAAACGCCACCTTGATCTTAATGGTTTCCACCAAGTCCACCCAATTAGGTTCCTTGGAATTGAACACCTTATCATTCCTAGCAATCCATATGGTCCAGAGAATTGCCAAAGGCAAGGCTTCCCAAATAACTCTTCCCAGATACTGCCTTTTTTGATCAAACCACCAAACTAGCAACTCTTGGATAGAGCCAGGAGAGACCCACAAAATGCCCCACCAATTGACAATAGCAGACCAAATCCTCCAGGAATAATAGCAGTGAACTAGCAAATGAACTGTTGATTCATCTACATTACCACAAAATGCACAATGGTTGGGAGTGTGGATTATATGGTGTCTAAGAAGGAGATTTGCAATAGCAATTCGATCCCACCACACCAACCATCCGAAAGCTTTTATCTTCGGAGGTGCAACTGTCTTCCATAAATTCATGATAGGAAAGAATGACACCTGAAGAGAGATCTCAAATAAATCATAAAGAGACTTAACAGTGAAAATACCTGATGAAAGGGGAGTCCAGATCAGTTTATCCTCCACAGAATCTCTGCTTCTTTGGATCTGCTGCAACCTTCCAAGCAAATCATGGTGTAAGTCCTCTTCCCAAGCTCTCAGTGGTCTCCTGTATAAAATATTCCATTGCAACTGAGTGCCCAAATTCTGATGAGTCAAACATTGATGAACAAAGTAGTCCTTGTCAGTTGCAAGTGTAAAAAGTCTGGGATATAGGGAGGACAAAGGTGAATTAAAAAGCCATCCATCAGTCCAGAATTTAATCATTTTACCATTACCCAATATGAATTGGAGGTTATCAATTAATAATTTATGAACTCTAGAATTACATCTTTCTAAATCCAAAATGGACTTTCATACAACTGAGCAATTCCTGAAAGTTGAGGAACTTGGCAGCCAGATGCTAGTGCTTAAATTGTTTTTAGCACATAAAAATTTCTTCCAAAGAGAGTCAGTTTCCTTAGAAAACCTCCACCACCATTTGCAAAGAAGGGACTCATTGTTGTCCCTAGATTTCCTAAACCCAAGACCACCAAACTTTTTACTCAAAGAGCAGGCCTCCCAGCTGACCAAATGAAGTTTTTTCTTCTCTTCACTATCCCCCCAAAGAAAGGATCTTTGGAACTTGTCAATGGTGTTTGCCACTGTGGAGGGAATTTTAAAGAGAGACATATAATAAAGAGGAAGAGAGGATAAGACTGATTTAACTAAAGTAATTCTACCTCCTAAAGAGAGGTACCTTCTCTTCCAAGATGATAATCTTTTTTTGACCTTCTTAATTATGGGTTCCCATGTTGCAGCCCTCTTAGGATTAGCTCCTAAAGGCATACCAAGATACTTGATTGGAAGTTTACCCACTGAACAATTTAAATACTTAGCTACTTGAGATGTGAAATCAACATTGGTGCCAACTCCACATAACACAGATTTCTGAAAATTGATTTTCAACCCAGATATTAATTGAAAACAAGAAAGCACTCTTCTTAGATTAATAATCTCGTCCCAATCTGGGTAACAGAATATAAGAGTGTCATCAGCAAACTGCAAGTGTGTTAGATTCAAACCAACATTGCCAATATCAGCCCCTTTAATGAGACTCAAATTTTTGGCTTTCTTCATAAGAATGTTGAATCCCTCGACAACAAGATTGAAGAGAAAAAGAGAAAGAGGGTCACCTTGTCGTAATCCTCTATGTGGGGAGAATTCTTGAGTGGGGGATCCATTGACCAAAACAGAGATATGTGATGATGATATGCATTCAGCGATCCATGAGACCCATTTCTCTCCAAATCCAAACATTTGAAGCAAGTGAAGAAGGAAATTCCAATTGACACTGTCAAAGGCTTTCTTAAAATCTAGCTTTAAAAGGATTCCACCCCTAGAGTTGTGCTTCCAAAGATCTACTACTTCATTAGCTATAAGAATTCCATCTAAGATTTGCCTGCCCTTGACGAAGGCAGATTGGGATTCATTAACCAGTTTAGGCAAAACAGATTTTAGTCTCATAGATAGAATTTTAGCAAGAATTTTATAAATACAGCCAATTAGACTGATGGGTCGATAATCTGACAGGGATGATGGATTTGGAGATTTTGGAATCAAGGTAATAAATGAAGAGTTTATACCTTTAGAGAGTTTGCTGTTGAGATGAAACTCCTTGATGAATAAGCAGATATCCTCCTTAATAATTGGCCAGCTCTTTTTAATAAACTTCATATTGAAACCATCTGGCCTTGGTGCTTTGTTCCCATCACACTCTCTGACTGCTTCCCAGATTTTTGCCTCTGAGAAAGGCAATTCCAGCCGCCGAGCATCATCAATTGATAGTTTGCGTTCAAAAGAGCCTAAAAATTTTGGTCTTGAGGGCCATCTTTCTGAAAAAAAATTATGGAAGTGCATTTTGACTCCCATTCTAATCTGTTCTGGATCTTCAACAGTGGATCCATTTAAGTTTAAGCTCACAAAAGAGTTCTTCCTCTGCCTTGAACTAGCCACCATATGGAAAAATTTGGAATTTTTATCCCCCTCCTTGAACCAAATTTGTCTTGATTTTTGCAACCAGGTGATCTCAATCAATCTCAAAGTCTTCCAATATTCAGACTTAAGTGTTCTTTTGATTTGCAAGTCATTATTGGACAATGTGTTTCTTTCTTGTAAAAGATCCAAAGAATGCAATTGCTCCTCAATCAGAGAGAGCTTATCGTTTAAGTTGCCAAATTCCTCTTTGTTCCACTGCTTGAGAGAAGCTTTAACCTCCTTAAGTTTCAGTGAGACTTTATAACCAGCCCAACCTTGTACAGCATATCTGGACCAAGCCTCCTTAACAACCCTTAAGAAATTAGGGTGAGATGCCCAAGCATTAAGGAACCTGAAGGGTTTTGGCCCCCAATCCCTATCATCCTCCATGAGAAGTATTGGACAGTGATAAGATAAAGTCCTTTGGAGTCCCCACTGATTGAGCTTAAACTTGTCTAGCCAATGTGGATATAGAAGGAACCTGTCAATCCTACTCCATCTATCTGCTCCTGATTATTAGACCAGGTGAAGGATCTACCTAGGAGAGGTAGATCTCTTAATCCCATAGAGGATATGAAATCTTTGAATTGTTTCATGCTAGCTGATAATCTTAAGCATCCATTTCTTTCCCCAATTTCAACAATTTCATTGAAGTCCTCCCCAATACACCATGGCAGATCACAACTAGATTTAAGATTTAATAACTCCTCCCACAATAGATTTCTTTCAATAGCATCATTTGGGGCATATACATTAACTAAAACACACTCAAAAGTAGAGTAGATAGTACATTTTAAGAGGATGAAATAAGACCCTTTAATGCAATCTGAAACTGAGAATGTGGTTTTGTCCCATACACAAAGAATACCTCCTGAAGAGCCCAAAGCATTAACTGCAGCAAAACCTGGATTTGGATTTGGCCAGATTGAGTTGATTAGTTGAGAATTGATGACTGATTTCTTAGTTTCTTGTAAAAAAAAGATGGTGACTTTCCTCTGAGAAATCAATCTTCTTATTCCTCTCCTCTTCTCTCTTTTCCCCAAACCTCTAATATTCCATGAGATTAGCTTCATAGATAAACTGATGGCATTTCCTTGAGTGGATAGAGTGGGATGGAATCAACCCCTGCTGTGCCCTGATTCAAGGCCACAAATAACATTTGCACCCTGAATTTCCTTAATCTTGCTAACAACCTCATCATCATGTTCATCACTATGGAGATCAAGCAATTTCCCAATTTTCCACACTGCTTCAGCTTCATTGAGTAAAATACGATTACGGTTTGCAATTGCATCGGAAGATAAAGATAGGGATAGAGCCGCAGCTGCTGATCGAAGTGTTACTGACTTTCCTCCCTTCTTTCTGCCACCTCTTCGAAGCTTATCACCAGCAGCAAAATTCCCTAAAACCTGTTGCAAGAGTTTCCTTTTGCTTTTCCTTTTTGATAGACCCATATATGGTTTGAAGGGACCTTCTAGCACCTGCAAAGTATTACTGGAACTAACAAGTGGGACATAATTAATATTTTTGGTGTGGTTAGAGAAAGAGTTTGGGACAAAGGATGGAGAAGTATCACGAACTTGGTCAGGCAAAGAAGGAGATGGTGGGCAGTGTTGATGGTTAAAAAGGTGATGAGATGAGGACAAGGAAATATCTGGGATATTGATCTGATCAAGGGCTTGGATGGGTTCCACCCCGTGGGCTTGATTTGTAATGACAGGACTTGCACTTTTAAAAGGAGCACCAGAATGAGTATGGGTTGTAGAGGGAGAATGGGCTTTGGAAAAGAATTGATATGGGCTTAGAGGATGTGATGATTTAATAAACAAGTTGGATGGGCTTGGCTCAATAAGAGGAGTGGGTGACCTATGGACAGATTGATTGAGACGGGGGTCATTGACTAGGCCCACTTCTGAAAAATTTGAATTGATACACTCTTCAACTTCTTTTAGCCGTTGCACCTCAGCAGAACATTTTGACTGACAACCCAACTTCCCACGCAGTGGTGGCAGCTTACTGACTGCTGGAGTCCCAACGAGAGAGTGTTACGCATGCCCGGATGGTGATCTGGTGGCCAGCTGCCCACCTAATGCTGGATGGTTTTTGTCATTGTCAGCAAGACTATCCACGTCAACTGATGAATCATCACCTTCCTCTTCCGAAGAGTCTCCATGGTCAAGATAGTCTGGAGAGATGTTGATCATCTGTTCCTCCACCACTCTGATATTGGACTCTACTCCTTTACAAACAAGTTGGACAAGACTGTTGATGACCTCAAAATGACTTGTAACAATCAGCACTTTCCCACTAATAAAGGATGAGCTACTCAATGTTGATTCATCAACTGAGATCGTTTCACCCCAAACATTCCCAATACTCTTGAAAGTATTGAAATTCCAAAGGTTTAATGGGGCTCCATAACAGTTGATCCAAACTGCTCTAGTACAAGGATTATCGCGTTTCCAAAACGACCACTCTTTGCATCTTCAAACCTACTACTGAACCAAGCTTCATCATTTTGTAGTCTGTCCAACATCTCTTCCCTGGAATCAAATGTTAGCAAGTAAGACTTACCACCCATAGCACGAACCTGCATTCGACCCGCATCCTCTGGAGAAAATGAATCTCTAATTGATTGGTCCGCAAACGGTAGGCTTGCTCTTACCACAACACTTCTAAAGAGCCATTCATTGCCCCCTTCCTGAGCATGAACCTTGATGTTAAAGTCCTTAGCTTGATGACCTCCTATTAAAGCTTCAGCATATGAAGGTTTAATCCGATTTGACAGATGCTTATTATTCCTTGGTAGGGGCTGATTCCACTCTCGTGTTCTTGAAGTCTGCTTCTGGATTGTCTGGACATGAGCACGGTACAGTGGCCTTTCAAACCTGGCTGGTTTGACAATAAGTCTATGATCTCCATACCATGCCCCATTGAATTTCCGAGACGCCTCCTCTGCTGAAAAATGATTGTCATAGTAGATAAAGCCAAACCTGGAGTTAAACTTCTTAGTTCTTCTATTCGGAATTGAAACTTGAATGACTTTGCCAAATCTCTGAAAAAGGCCCTTGAAGGAGTCCACTTGCAAATGCTCTGGCAAGTTGGCAACAAAAACAGTGAAAAACCTTTTAGTTCTTTTCTTCAATCTTGATACCGTTGTCCACCCTTGATTATCCTCTTCTCTCTCCATTCTGCCTTTCCTTTATCAAAATTTTGGGCCTCAATCTTTTCTCAAATTCGAGACACCGATGTTCTTCTGTACCTACCAACTCGGGCTCAAAACATGCCAAACTAGTAAATGTGGCCTCAAATTTTTCCACGGGTGTGTTTAATTGCCTCAAGTCTTCAAACTGCTTCCTTAACCTCTCTCTTGCCGTGGGAGGCAAGAACTTTTCTTGAAAGGCATGATGAATGCCTCCAAGTATGCTCCACTCTATGCTTCACCAATTTCCACCATTGACCAGCCTTCCCCTTTAACTGGTAAGCTGCTAATGCCACCCGAAGTTCTCCATCACTGATATCTAGAATCTCAAATGACTTGATCATTTGCTCCAACCATTCATCTACCTTCATTGGGTCAGCCCACCACTAAATTCAGTGGGGTTAGAACGAAAAAATTCCTTTTCCAAAAAGGAGACTTGAGTTTCCCCTTCAATTGTCCTTGCCACTTGCTGGACTCGGAGTATTTCCATGGATTCACGAAGAGTCCCCGCCATCTCCCGGCCTAATGCCCCCATTGCATCTTGGGCCGGCGGAACAGTTGCATCATTTTGCCCCATCCATTCTTCTTGGAGAGGAAGATCTTGTTGTGCCAGCATATCTTGGTGACCTCTACGGGGCGTACCTCGACCTCTACCTCGTCTCGACATCCTTTATGAAAGCATGGAAAAAAGATTTTAACTCACAACCCACACACCATACATCAACCCATTTATGACACACGCGCGTTAAACATGCTCTTATCAATACCTATATCATATAGAGCACACCACATATTCATATAAACACATAGAGCACACATGAGTTACTCTTCCAAGACTCTGACTAGTCACCTGGCACTCAAAGATTTCCTAGTGGAAAAAGCATTGATTAAGTGCCTTTTCAAAAGGATTTCGATGATTGCAATAGGCACCAGTCACATCCTAAGAGATTAACTCCACATCTATATAATCAAAAAAACAAGTAAGACACGCTAGGCATGTTAACGTCCCTTACTAACACAATAGGTATTCAAACCCGATTAACTCTGATACCAATTTGTAATGCCCTAGAAGAACCTTTCTAACCCTATTCACCCGTCATTCCACACAACCATACAAGCAATTAATAAAAGAAATAGTAACAAGGAAATATCATACATTACATTTCTTTCTCTTTGACTATTCCCCATCTTACAATATCTTCTTATTACATCCCATGCAAAAAAAAAAAAAAAAAAAAAAAAAAAAAAAAAAAAAAAAAAATTAAAAAAAAAAAAAAAAACAAAAACAAAAACAAAAACAATTCAGAAAGAAAGAAACATAAACAATAAATTAAGTCCAGGTGGACTTCTTTCCAAAATATGTCTCTTACTACATTTACATACAAGTCCACTTTTAATTACGTTCGCCTTTGCCAAAACTCAACAAAACATCAAAGACAAGACATCAAGCTCCAAAAAAGTCCTTTCTTATGAATGTCATCATTTAGTGGTTGCTTTATCTTCATTTCCTGAAATTGTTAGCTTTTGAGGTGAGCATAAGCTCAGTAGGTGATGAATTTAACAAGCTATATAATCAATTGAATAACCCATGATCATGTCATGCAATATTTAAAACATGAAAAGGAAATAACATATAAGTGTCTATGTAAGTGAAGATAAATACGCAATGAATGAAATTTGTTCCATCTCTTTCATATTTTCCATGGGTGGTAAATGTACTATTGTAGCGATCCCAGTTTTGCTACTTTGCTGAGTATGTCAGGGATCGAGATGCCCAGTCAGCTCGTAGGGGTCCAGGGGGTAGCGTCCTTTGGCAGGTCCAAGCAAAAATGCAAAATGCATTCGAAGTTGCTTGTCCGCTCGAGCGGGAGAGCAAGCTGTACGCGCGGATTTCAGGAGAGAGCAGCTTGCACATTGCTAAAAAGGCAGGTGTGGGAGTGAGGTGCAGTGGGCTGGTGAGATCTAAAATTTTTCCATTTTCTTCTCTCTTTGGGCTGAAGTTGAATCACTTTTGTATATCTCTCTCTCTCTAAAAACATTTCCTCTCCCTTCTCTCTACATTTCCTACCAAAAACCTCACAAGATCTTTGATTTCTTCAAATCCTTTGGGATTTGGACCTAAGTTCTTCATCAAAGTTGGTTAGCTCCTCGAGGGTTTCGTTGTGTGCAGTGAAAATCGAGTTTCGAC